CTCTTCCGCCATATAGTCGCCAGCTTATGAAAATGATGTGACAATTAATCGAGAGATGATCAGAATTGGTTCAAACAACAAGGTACGATGCACGCAAACCCTAGATCGCTTGGGAAGAAAACCATATTAGGGTGATTTATTCATCATTAAAACTCTTTTACCTAATCTTTATTAAAATCTAAGTTTAGTTGGTTACACAAGATTTAGGGTTTGTTTGCAAACACTACTCACAATCACTTTTGGGAAAAAGTGATTAATGAAAAGTAAAAGTTGGTAGTGTTTGGTAAAATGAGTGTTTTTTGTGTAATAGAAAAAGTAAAAACAGATTCTAGCTTTTAGCTTTTAAGTGTTATTTTAAGTAGAAATTGTCACTTTGAAAACACTCTTTTTAGCTTTTTAAGTCAAAAGGTGGGAAGCGTTTTTTTAGTGTTGGCAAACTAACCCTTACTTAAGTTCCTATTACCCAAACGGACCATTAAAATTTGGAGAGGATTCTTGTCGTAAATCCTAATCCTAGTATTTTCATACGGAGTATTTTTAATCAATAATAATACGGAGTAATAAATAAATTCCATAAAAAAGAAGAACATTTTCCACTTTTGGTCCCATAACTATATATCAAGTCTCACGCTTAGTCCTCTTCTTTAAAAAGTCTCATTTTAGGTGCATGACTATTGTACTCTTAGACACTTTTGGTCCTCCAGTCACTTATCCGATCAATCTTGGCCTTTAATGAACAAAACGTTACTTTTGTTTTTCTCCCGTTGAATGAAACTTTAAGAACCGGAGAACAAAAACCCAAGCTATCTTCTATCCAAAAAATGGCAAGCTCCTTATCCTCAAATTCCAGGCGTGAGAATTATAGCTATGGCGAGTGGATTCCAGTTACTCCCTGTCACTGCGGCCATGAATTGAAGCTGATGACCACATGGAGTAGTGAAAATCCAGGTCGGAGATTTTTCCAATTCCCTAACTATGAAGTAAGTTATTCAATACTCAATTTGTGTAAAGCTTGATTAGATAAAATGCATAAAATTGAGGTAGTTTTTTTTGCTTATTTCATAGAACGACATGGGCAAAAAAAGGTGATAGAATCTATATATATAATACTGACTAATATTCTACTTGTGCATATAGAGCAACAGAGACATGAAGGATGCAATTTTAAGGAGTGGTTTGACCCTCCTATGTGTCAACGAGCCAAAAGGATAATCCCTAGGTTATTGAAAAGGAATAACCGTCAAGATGAAGAAATAAGAAGCCTTGAAATGAAAATGAAGACAATTAGTAAGGCCGATGTGATTACAGAAGAGAAGACATCTATGAAGTGCGTTCAAGTCCCGTGTGCCCTGGTGTTAGCTGTGGCTATGGTTATTAGCTTTGTAGTTTGTTTCGTTGTAACCTGGAAAATGGCAAATAAAGTGAGGACTTTGGATGGGAAATATTTGTTGTAATATGGAGGTGTAACTAGTTTGCTGCAATCTAGATTTATGTATTTGCTGAACTATTAGTAATGATTGTGTATTTGTTGCAATATTGCAACAGATAATGCCAGTCGGTTTGTCGCTTTGTGCCATGTAATTCTCTTCATCTCTATAATGAGTAGTTGCTTTTTATGATCTATTATGTTTAATGAGTTAGTGATTGCATTGAGTAAAGCTGAAGAAATCAAATTCATTTAGTCATAGAGTAAAATGGAGTTCCAGAAAGTTAAAATTCTGCCAAATGAGTTTCATATCATCAAAAAATACACATTTGAATGTAGATGGAGTAAAAAAGAGTGATGCCAGAACGTTATAAGAAATCAACATATACACATTACAATGCAAACATGGGGCTGAATGGGTTTAAACTTCGCAGATTTTTTAAAAACAATTACTTATATTATGTGTAGAAAAGTGCAGCTCCTGAAAACCATGAAGTTGAGCTACACAGACCATGCTCGAAACCGCAGTTACAGACCTCATTTTATAGAATAAACCGGACAGAATGTAGCCCCATAAGTTAGGAAGTTGCTGCCAGAACTTCACCCCGATTGGAGTTCATTTGGCATGCCATTCCAGGCTTGCCCTCCTGCTGATATATATACTTCAGAAAACAGAATTATAGGGACAAACCAAACAGCCATGTGGTTTTAACTTGGAAGCATAACACATCAGTAACTAAACAAGTAGGAGTACTTGCTTTAAATATCATTGAACATAATATTACATGAGATAGTGAAGTTGGAAACATAGCAAACTACAGAAAAAAGTTATTTGAACTACCAAAACTGATAGTGTACAAACAAGTATAGCCAAATAAAGTTGGCTCCATCTCATTTTTGCACTGCATATGCATGTACTTATGAATTTGTAATAAGCAGATTTGGTCGGACAGAAGACATGAATGTGTCTCTATAAGCACATTTGGTCTATATAAAGACATGAATTTGTCTCTATTCACACACTATAACTATGATAGTCAAGAAAATATCTGTATACTTTAACGAGAGCCTTCTGCCTAGAGCACTGAACAAATAACTTGGATGTAAAATTTTGCAAAATACTTAACATTCAATATTTATGTTTTTGAACAATGAGATTTCATAACATTACATTACTAAGCCATTGACATTAGCAAAAAAAATATACCAAAGTGATTGGCTAACATTACATTAATAATTGAACAAAAAAACTGTGCACAGGCCAAATCCATACGTCCTTCATTTTGCCCTCTTGATATTCAGTTTACCGGAAGGAGCTCCAAAACAAACGTTCACACCATAGCTTGTCACTTCTATGTTAGAGAGTTGTCCCGCATCACAAACGCTATTTCTTTCACTGGCACTTGCCTCATTTTGACTAGCCATCTCTATCCAAGGAAGGCTATCATCAGGGACAAGTAGAGAATTAACATCAAATGATCCGATAATACAGTCCAACTCACTAGGATGCTTATCAGATACCCACTCATGTGCCTTTTCATCTAGTTCCTTCAACTTAGTCATCCCAATGTTGAAAGAGTTCACTGTGGAGGCCCTAGCACATGACCACAATGCATTTTTCAATGCAGTTCCTTGGAAACCAGCAACCTTCATGTTGGCATGTAAGTGTCTCACACAAAACCTATGATCTACTCCAGGTAAGACCTCCTTACAAGCTTGAATTAAACCTTTTTGCTTATCAGACATAATAGTTTACATATGTTCACTATCCTCACCTATATTCAAATCGCTTTTCAGAATCCTCAAAAACCAACTCCAAGACTGTCTTGTTTCTCCTTCAACAATTGCATATGCAATAGGGAAGATGCTATTGTTCGCATCAATAGTCACAGCAGTTAGAATCTGACCACCAATGGTAGTCTTCGAGTGACACCCATCAACACCTATTAATGGCCGGCAATGTTTGAATCCCTCTTTACAAGCATCCCAACACATATAAAATCTCATAAACCTGTTTTCTTCGCTCTGGCCAGTCAAGTCACTTACTTTCACAACACACGTTGACTTATGTTTGGTCTTATCAATTTCTGCACAATAACTCCAAATATTTTTGAAGTTATCCTCTTGGTCCCCTTGGATTTGTTTCTTTGCTTTCTGGATCGCTCTATACGCTTGTTTCGTACTGACGTGAAACTTTTCTTTAGTACACATTTTTTTTTTCTAAATTCCTTCATTTTCCAATTGATGTGGAATTGTATCTCTTTGGACCATCTTTTTGCAACTTTGGTTGAATTAACCATCCTGTTATGGTAATTCCAACCACATCCTTCATGTTTTTTTGATAACCTCAATATTCTCCATGATAAAGAATTCTGCACTTTTCTTAGAGATATTGTCCAAGGGCATTCAGTTTGCTCACACTTCACAATAAATCTAAGAGAATCATTTTTCACAAATTTCAAGTCCTTTCCATTTTCAAAGGCATAATTATGCACTGCTTCTCTAAATTCTTTCTTACTTGAAAATGTCATACCTACAGAAAATGTTGGATTTTCCATTTCTGTGCTAGCTCTGAAAATAGGCCAGGGGACTTTTGAACTTTCAACATCACTTTCTGAATCTTCTACAGAATCATCATCAGATAAGTTGGGGTCAGACCAACATTTTTCTGCAGTACACCCAAGAGCCAGTTGTTCTTCATCTCTCATTAAACCAGCATATTCAACACTGAAGTCCACATTCTTTTCAAACTCGATATTATCTTGATTAATTGCTTCCATATCACTGTCTGAGATTTTCTCTAGGTCGGAAAGAGAATAGCTACAATCACTCTCTTCATCATCTCCACAATCCGATTCTACAAGTGTAAGCATATATTTAGAACAAAATTACAAACAAACAAATTAGGGTTTTTTGTACGAGTACATACCGTTTCTGCGAAAGATAGCCACATCTCTTGAAGGAGGAGAATCTGCCATTTCTTGGAGTTAGTCTCCAGAGCTTGCCTTCATATGTTCGTTTCTCTTCTTCTGGAGCAAAGGATGCCTAAGAACGAATGCTTCAATTTTAAGGAGCACGGGGTATTAACTTTTTATTTGTTTAAAGACAAGAATGCCCCTTAAAATAAATAAGTGAGCTCATCGGGAGAAAATAAACTACTTGGCCGACGGTTTTTTGCCGGCTAATTCACGGGAGGACTAAAAGTGTCCGAAATATAATAGTCGTGCACCAAAAATGGAAATTTTAAAAGAAGAGGACCAAGAGTGAGACTTGTGGGGTGTTTGGATCCGATTCTTAAAACTGCTTCTGCTCCTTCAAGGAGCAGCAGCAGAAGCTGGAGTGTTTTGTTGAAAGTGCAGAAGTGATTCTGGTGCTCTAATTTACTCCCAGAATCAGTTTTTTTAAAAGCTGGGGGTGATCAGTTTCTTAAAACCGATTCTGATTCCGCTTCCGCTTTAAAAAAGAAGCATAAGCAGAATCAGTCCCTTGGTACATAGTCATAGGACCAAAAGTGTCAAAAATTCTAAAAAAGAATAATTAACGTCGTTATTTCCCCTTTCATAGTACTCCGTATAATTTTCACACCTAAAACTCAAATTCTGCAGTCTCGTGTTCTCATTTTCGTCGTTATTGCAAGTCTTTGTATCTGAAAATCTTTTCTAGCTTCCGGGCGAAGAAGAGAACAGTTTAATTGCAGAAAATGGTGGTGAAGAAGTTCTCTGTCCGCCACAATGGATCCACCTTCGACGTCGACTGCGACACCGAAGACGGCTTCGAAGTTCTTTCTTCTACTGCCCTCTTCTTCCCTCCAATCTAGTTTGTCCTCCTTCAAAGCCATCTCTTATAGATTCTTCTTCTACCTTTTCTCTTCTTATTTCCAGGTCTTCAAATTCCAACTCTTCTCTCTTACATCCATTCCACCTGATCAACAAAAGGTACCTACACTCTTTATGTCTCTCCTTCTCTGCCTGTTTGTATATGTATATATCGTGATGTGAAATGGTAATGTTGGACAGATAGTGGGAGTTGGTGATGGTCAAGCTGTACCAGCAGAAGCAGATTTGGCATCCATTTCAGAAAAGCTCCAATTGGTATCGATTGAGGACGGAAAACAAACGGAGAAAGAAAGGACAGGGCTTGAGTTTGCTATATCCGATGAAGAATTAGCTCGGATTTTGCAGGTATAGTTTTTAGTTTCTACTATGATGTGATAATTTTTTCTATAATACTCCGTATTTGTGAGATATTTAAGATACGGAATATGGAGTACTTCAATACTTTGTTGTTTGCCTATTTATCCTTTACAGTTTATGCCTATTTTAAAAATAGATTACACACCTAACCAAACAATGTATTTCTATTTTACATGCAAACTATTTTACGACCCTAAACTTTACATGCAATCACATTGCATGTAAAGTTTTAATGTGTAAACTACCAAACGGGCTCTTAATGTGTACTTTATCTTTGTGTTAACAAAATGGGACTAATTTTAGAAAAGGGGGCTAATGGGAGTAAGATGTACAAAAAGATTATTTTTCATAGTTTTGACAAAAACTAACTAATTCAGTGACATATCTCAGTTATGCGATGACAAAAGTCTCAAAACGCATAATTCGGACTTTAGTTACTGAGTCACAGATTTGTCACTGATTTAGTTAGTTTACTGTCTAAAAGAGGTGCTTTTTATCCCAAAAAATCATTTTGTTATCTATCATTCTATGCTATTTAATTTCGTAAAATCTGTGTCATTTTTTGATAATCCTCTGGCATTTCATAATAATAAGAATATATGGAACAATGTGTCTTATAGGACGAGGAAGATGCGCTTATGGTGCAGCAAGCAGTTAACAGTAAAAACAGTGCAGAATTTGAGCAAAAGATACGGCCTTACATTGACCAAGTTCTACTGGTTAAGCTTAAACCTCTTTTATTGATTTTCTTTCTGGTTCAACATTGTTCTTTGCCTTTTTTCCTAGGGATATACTTCATTCACCTCAATTTAGAAGTCTCAGCATCTCACTTTCTGTTTTATGTTTTCCGATAACTTATTCTAACTTTCGGTTCCAGAACGTTTTCTGATAATTGTGTTAACTTTCCTTTCCAGAATGTCACTAACTTTTTGGGTTATGCTATTCATGCATCATCTCGCATAAACAAAAAGTTTGTTCTTTGAAACATCTGTATTGCCTGTATGAACAGAGGATTCTTATGCGTGTTGGTGTACAAAAAGCATTTCCAACCTTTTTCCCCTTTCCCTATTGTCTCATTGTAATTTGTATAACTATTGCTAGTTTTGAGGGTCAGTCACTCAGTTGTCATTCATTTTGTTTCCATCCATATAAGAAACAATTGGACCTATAAATTGGATGTCAAGTACTATTTGTCTAGGCAAAATTTTAGCATATACATGTCAAAGACTATAGTACATCTATGGATTACTTTCCATGGAAAGTAACTGCAGGTAAAGAGTTGTTTATATTATTTGGTGCCCCGTTTGACCAAAGAAAGTGATTCACCAATTGAGATTATTTTCATCTTGGAGAAGGTGAATGTGATGATAATATTTCACTAAAAAATGAAAGAGATTGTACTGAAAATAATTCCCTTGAAAAGCACCAATCACTCTCTAAGGAGGTGTTTGGTACTTTCCCCAAAAGTGCTAAAAGAGAAAATTAAATCATGCAAATTGGCTTTCTCATTCCCACCTTGTGATTTGTTTTACGTGGAAAGTTAGTTTTAGACTAATGATATCCACATTTCCCAGGAATGCAAAATGTGCGTGTCTTTATTACCGTGGTAAATAAATAAGTGAAAAGTGAATTATGTTCTTTGGAGTCTGGACAAGTAATTACATTGCATCCTACCAAACCATCCCCAAGACCAGGCATACACAATTGTTATTTTTCTTTCCGAAAGAGTGTCATGTATTTTGTTTGTTTTTGAGTTTTGACATGGCCTTGTTTCAGTATGAGGACCCACGGAAGAAGGAAGCTGCTCGTAAGTCAGTACCTACTGAGAATCTCAAGGAGAAAGCATTAATTTCATTGGCCAGGGTAAGACTTTAAATCTGAATTTTAAGTGTAATAACTAATAATCTGTATACATGAAGTCAAGAATACTAGGAGAGAAGGGAACATTAATAATGAGTTCAGAAATTGGCAAGACATTTAGATGTATGGTGCCAGTTACACTAATGAAACTTCTGTCCCATTTGTCGTAAAAAATACAAAATTTATGTCCCATTTGTCGTTTATGTAGAGTTGGAAACCATTGTCAAAGTAACAAATTTTATCAGCTTTGTATGGTTTGATGTTTTTATAGTTGTAGAGAAGTACAATTAGCGTAAAAAAATACAAAGCACTGTTTACAGAAGGATACGAACAATAAATGCACATCCTTGTTAAACTAAACATACTAGTAGTCTTGGAAAATAAGACTTGCAAGTGTTCATGGAGAATACAACTTCTCACAAGTAGGCTTTGACCAAGGTCTTGTCATGAGCGCAGTTGGGAGATGAAAAGAAGATTGAATAATAAAGATTAAGAATTTCCCCACTCGAGGCAAGATAAGAGGCTCCAAACCTAGTCAGACTCCAAAGAATATATTTACACTAGTCTCAAGATTCTCGGTTAACCAGTCTTAGAGTAACATTTACCTAATTAGAATAATGCTATAACTCTATAAGGAATATATAATAAAACAGAAAACTTCTACTAGTAGGAAACTTGTACTACTAGCAATTCTAGGAAACTCATAACAAGAAGTTTCTCCTCGCAATACTTTTCCATGTTCTATTTTCGCGGCTCAATCATGAGGTATGCATGTACACAGATTTTCTCCTCACTTTCTGTCCATTTACCTGAGTTAGAATTCCAAAACGCACTAAAATCCTCCCTAGTTCTCACTGTTAGTTCTCACGATGAAGAACTAACACGGCTCTAATTAAATTGAAATCACTGTGCACCAAAGTGTGTGGGTAAGCTCTATGAGAGATCCACTGAATAAATCCGTGCGATTTAACCCCGTTAATGGGTGTAATTAGGGTTCATAAAAATTTAAACGTGGACTCTTGGAGTTCTCATTTACTAATCATATTGCCCAATCAAGAAACCCAATTTTCACGATTTCCACCCTTTATAACTACTTTAAATTTATAACCAATTTCCTAGTATGAGTAAGCTTCTTAAACTAACACGGCTGCATAGGTTATTAAAAGAATATGTGGTTTCAAAAAGATTTACCCCGATTGAGCACCTGGGTGTGGAAGAAGTTATATTCTAATTCATTAAAAATAACATTTTTTGCTGCGGTTCTAGCTAAAAACAGTAGCAAATTAGTCATATACTACTAGTACAAGATAAGGAAGTGAGACTTGCTTTATTTCGCGATACTGTGTATGATTGATTTTTGTTTATAATGATGCATTTTTTCGAGGTCTATGCAATGGTATTACTCTCATTAACCGATTTATATTGTACTTTGATGAAAACCACTTCTTATATTCTCAACGCTTTATAAGCTATTTAAAATTTCATTATCATGTATTTTTTTTAAAATCACCCATATAGATTATTACTAAATATGTTGCTCTTTGAAAAAGATTACGGATTTTTGGTGGGCCTATGAGTTGGCCCATCTGCAGCTGTGCTAATGTCTCCTCCAAAGCCTTAGTGACGAGGGATGGATCCTCAAGTTTGAGATACAAACCTTATTTGGAGAGTTAAGGATTCAAAATAAAAAACATAAAAACGCAATTAACTCAAGTAGAAACATTATATGTGCAAGGAATGAACAATAATCTAAATCCTTAGTAATTTAACATAAGTTTTCTTTAAGATGCCAACTTTGGAAATAGGAGTGAGAAGTGATGGATTTACCAAACGAGTTCTAGAGCATTCCAAATCCTAAGGCCATTAATCGGAAATGCCATAAAGTAACATTCTGTTGGTAGAGCACTTTGAGGATAACCAAACCTTTCCTTGCTAAAGAAGAAGTATTGATCTTTCCATGGAATATAGCTTAATCAAGGATAAAAGGTGACAATATACCCATAATGTTTAGCTCCCGGTGCAGATTTGCCCCCAAGGTTTTGATTTTTGAAAGGTACAAAAGTATCCCTAAAGTTCATATTTAGGAGCAAATTTATCATTATTGACTTTAAATAAAATAATAATTAAAAATTGTAAAAATAAATTAATGAATATATTATTGAGTTTGGAAAATGAAAATAAAAACTTTAAAAATCCATATTGTGTTCAATGCTTGCTTATTACTTCCTCCGTCCCGCTATGATTGTCCCGTTTTACCTTTTCGGTCCGTCCCACTAAGATTGTCCTATACCTTATTTGGTAAAATTTGTGTGGTTCTAAATGATTCTTACTTTATTCTTACTTTATCAATTCAATATCAACCACAAATTTGTGTGGTTCTAAACTCACTTTTATTAATAACCATGTCACTTTCTCTTGTCCCAAACTTAGGGGGACGGAGGTATTATTTTTTATCAAAATTTAATACTCTATTTTTAACTTAAAAGGAAGCATTGAACACAAATTGATTTTTAAAATATTAATTTTTCAACATAGTTTTTAATACCGCGCGGCTACAACCATTGTTATATGATAAAGGGAGAATGGCTGGAAATCAAGAATGGGTCAGTATAAGCCACATGCGAATGCGACTATCAGTTTGAAAGCAGCGGAGGAACCTCATTCTCAAAAGGTCAGCTTGATGCTCTATAAAAGATGTTTTCTCAAGTTCTCAAGGCTGAAAAAAGGGAACCCAAAGGATTCGTCTCTAGTTTGTTCGAGCAATCAGGTACCATACCCAAGTGCCCTTGTCTCTCATATCCATGATACAAATGTTTGGATACTTCACTCCAATACAACTGATAGTATGACTGGGAGCTTAAACCTCATTCAGAACATGCAACCTTACCCTCATAAGACAGTGGTTAGGATTGCCGATAGTACCTTAGCACCCATTGCTGGAATTGGTTTGGTTAAGGTCACTAAGAATCTCACCTTGTTTCCCGTCCTTTATGTGCCAAAACTCAACTGCAATCTGTTGTCTATCCGCCAAATTATTCATGATTCGGGGTGTGAAGTTAAGTTTAGTTCTCCTCGTTGTGTGTTACAGGAAGAGGGGACACGAATGATCTTTGATATTGGTGAGGTTCGGGATGACCTATACATTTTGCGAGGAACAGAGCAGGAATCGGAGGAGTCTAGTTCTAAGTCTACAAGTGCTCATATTGTAGCTAGCTTAGATAGTAGTGCAGATCAAGTAGTTCTATGGCATCACAGACTAGGTCACCCCCAACTTTATGTACCTTGAATCCCCCCCCCCATAATTATTCAATAAAAGAAGTGTCAAATTATTTGAATGTGATGTTTGTCAACTTGCAAAGCACATTCATACTGTCTACTCTGGATCAAGCTATCAGCCTACTAAGTCATTTTCCATTGTGCACAGTGACATCTGGGATCGTATGAAGGTCTGAAATAACAATGGTGCCCGATGGTTTATCACTCTCATCGATGACCATACACGACTTTTTTGATGAACGAGAAATCTGAACCTAATGGTATATTTCAGAATTTCCACCGAATGGTTCTAACTCTATTCGAAGAAAACATAAAAGTACTAAAAATAGACAACTCATATTACTTTAACCAAAATATGAGCAAGTATTTGACTGAACATGGGATTATTCATGTTAGCTTGTGCATGGATATACCGCAGCAAAACGGAATTGCAGAGCTAAAAACCGCTTGAAGTTGCTCTAGTAGCTGTGTTCACTCATTATGTACTGAAACATCTATGGGGTGAGGCAGTCCTCACAGCCACCTATCTAATTAATAGGCTTCCCAGTCGAGTGCTTCAGTTTAAGACCCCTCGACAAGTATTACTTGAATCTTTCCCACATATTGCCAATTTTACCTCAAATGTATCTCCAAAAGTGTTCGGCTGTACCATGTTTATTCATGTTGCACCTCATAATCAGTCAAAATTGGATCCCCTTTCTATCAAGGGTGTGCTGATTAGCTACTCTGTTGCTCAAAAGGGTTACAAGTGCTATGTACCATCTAGGCGGAACCGCGGAAGGTATATAACACTCGGGATATGACTTTCTTTGAGTCCCAGCCCTTCTTCAAACCAACTGTGTTTCAGGGGGAGAAATCTGACTACCCGGTAGTGTGTGAATCACAGCAGTTTGTGGACCTTATTTCGGCTGAATTTGAGGTACCTACACTAACCATGGAGACGCTGCACCAAGCTGGGGTGCAGGGGAAGATACTTGCTCCTGTGTCAAATGAACCCGAGCAGGAACAAGCTAGGTGCAGGGGGAGAACCTTGCTCTTGTGTCAGATGAACCCGAGCAGGAACATGATCAAGTGGTGAAACCTACTACTGGTCTATCAAAGGAGGAAAGACAAAGATGACAATAAGTGTGAGAAACCTATTGAAGAACTAAATCCTACACGACATGATGAAGCTGAAAATCAGGTTCAAACGATGGAAGAGGAAAGTGAAGCTCCTGGTGATGACCTTTATATTCCTATAGCCTTAAGGAAAGGTATACGTAGCTGCACAAGATATCCAATTGGGAATCAAGTGAGCCAAACAACAACATTCATGAAGCTCTGAAATCACCTGAATGGAAGAAAGAAGTGATGGAAGAAATTCACGCACTAGAAGGGAACAAAACATAAGAAATTGTTCTACTGCCAAATGGAAAAAAATATTGTTCACTGCAAATGGCTCTTTACAGTGAAATACAAAGCTGATGGCACTGTTGAATGACTCAAGGCTAGGCTGATTGCAAGAGGGTTCACTCAAACTCAAGGTATTGACTATGAGGAAACCTTCACGCGTGTTGCAAAGCTCAAAACGGTACGTGTGTTGCTATCTGTTGTTGTAAACTTAGTTTGGCTACTATATCAGGTTGATGTAAAAAATGCATTCCTGAATGGTGACTTAGAAGAAGAGGACTATATGAGCCCTCCACTAGGAATTCAACATCTAAAGAGAGGGATGGTGTGCAAGTTAAAGAAAGCTCTGTATGGCTTGAAGCAGTCTCCAAGAGCGTGGTTTAAACGACATGATAAGGTTGTCACAAGGGGGGATAATATAAATGCCAAACTAATGATACACTCTTCGTAAAACATTCGGATTTAGGGAATATGTAATCCTCATTGTATATGTGGATGGCATCATTATAATTGGAGATTACAACGAAGAAATACAACTTTACAAAGATCAGCTGGTAAGAGAGTTTGAAATCACAGACCTTAGTAGTCAAAAGTATTTTCTCGGAATTGAAATTATCAGATCAAATAAGAGAAAGAACATCTTGGATCTGCTGACATGACAAACTCCAAGTCAGTGGACGCACCAATGGAGCTGAACAAAAAGCTAAGTGCAACTACAGATGTTCCACGAGTAGACAAGGGAAACTATCAACAGTTAATAGGCCGATTGATATACCTTGCACATACTTGACCTGATATTTCATTTGCTGTTGGAATTGTGAGCCATCATATGCATGCTCTGAATGAGGAACACATGGAAATGGTGGTTAGAATCCTTAAGCACATGAAGAGTACTCCTGGTCAGGGTATACACTTCAAGAAGGCTGAAGTCTAGGACATTACTGTGTATACAGATGCCAGCTGGGCTGGGGAATTGACTGATAGAAGGTCAACTACATGATACTGTAGTTATGTGTCTGGGGAAATCTTGTAACGATGAGGAGCAAGAAACAAGATGTGGTGGCTCGAAGTAGTGCTGAAGCCAAATATAGGGCTCTTGCTTTAGGCATTTGTGAGGGAATATGGCTAAGACGGGTTCTAGACGAATTGAAGAATGGATCAACAAGGCCTATTCAGTTCTTATCAGACAGTCAATCAGCTATCAATATTGTGAAGAATCATGTCGATCATGATCGAACTAAGCACATTGAAGTTGATAGACAAATTATCTCTGACAATGTTGCCAAAGGTCTTGCTAGAGTCAATTATGTTCCATCCAAGCACCAGGCAGCTGATATTCTGACCAAGGCTCTCGGACGTGACACATTTCAGTTCTTATCTCACGACCTTGGATTGATTATACCATCTATACGAGGGAAGGGGGGGTTGAAGAATATATTATTTCAGTGTATATCTAGTTTACCATAATTAGATTTATTCTGTTTTACTATATAGGAAGTTAATCCGTGGAGATCTTCGAAGTAAGGTAGGTCTCTGTGTTATTTTCACTTTTCAGTATATATATTCCTGATCATGATTTAAGGTAAATACAAAAACTGAGAAGGATTTCTCACCATTCCACCATGCTAACCCTAATTTAACACAAAGGCTTGATATCGACAACCCCAACCAAGCTATGCTTCCTGGATACACAGGCTTTAGCAGTACATGCAAATCTCGGTACCCGGTGTTCCCACATGAGACAGGGAGTGCAAGTTTTCCTGCACAGAATATCAATTTGCATCTTCTTTCTCATGGATCAATTTAACCCCCACTTCTATGACCACTGGATCAACAGAAAGGGTCACAAGCCTTTTTTTTTTGGCATTTTTTGGGGTTTATGAAATATGAGGGCTCTCATCCCATTGGATACACAATTGAAACTGTTCATAAGTCAAGTGACAAATCCTGCACATGAGTGGGGCCGACACTTGAAATCTACATCGTCGGATATAGGGAATGACGAACCCCATGGTTAGAGAACGCAAGGAATTAATTTCTTTCAAAAAGAACATGTAACAGACTCTGTGTTGGTTTGTATATTTACACTGGATCAAAGTGAGATGACTTAACATGTCTTGCAACATGGTGGCTTGTTAGAGTAGAACAATCTTAAAGTTTTGTGTGTTTATGTCTTAGACTTTCTAGGATTGAATCGTTTGTTTGATTATAATGACCAGATTCCATATTAACACTTCGCGTTAGAGAAGAGTTTGTGGCGTTTAGAAACATTTTAAATGAGATACTCGGGCAAAAGGTGAGAGTAGCACCTAATGAAGATAAGATGTCATAGTCTCAATTGTGGTGGTTTGGCCATGTACATAGAAGACGAGTGATGCACTTATTAGATGAGTTGAGAGGCAGGAAAGAGAGGGGAAGGAAGATCCAGACATACGTGGGTTAGAATGGTCAAGAATGATATGGTACTTCTTGGGTTGGATGAGAGTGTGATTTTGGAGAGCGAGGTGGAGGTAGAATATACGTGTGGAGGATTGATCCCTTTTATCCTTTTAGTTCCGATTTCATATGTTGATTCATGTTAGCCAACCCCAAACTCTTTTGGCACCAAGGCTTGGATGTTGTTGTTCTACACACATTTTAAATGAAATAACGGGTTTCCCAATGTAAAGTTTGATTGTGCTTCTGATTTTGAATACAAGTAGATTACATTAATGATACTATATATAACAAAAATTATGTAATTTGATTCATATTACATTTGGTTCAATATTTTAGAATAAAGTGTATAGTATGAGATTAATGCGTTTGGGATTGTGGGTAATAATGATTTATCAATTTAGTAATTTACCTTGTTTTGCTTATATTGCCAACTAAGGAGTATATAATAGAAGGTCTCACTCCTAAGGATTTTCCTATCCAACACCGACTCCATAAGAATAATAGTCACAACTAACTAGGAAGCCAGCAGGCTATACACATCAGGTCAATAAGATGACTTCACAGGTGCTAGAAATAGATCAGGTTTAGCCCAGAACAAGCATTATAATCTGATGAAATTAAATTTTAGCATTGATTGTTTTTTGAGTATCACCACTACTATAAGAATCACTACTTCTGCGTTATGAATTACTATCGTCATTCATGTACCTCCCCAATCCTATTCATTAGTCCATTTTATCCAAAAACACACGCATGACTAAAGTTATAGAGTTTTTAAATTCAGTGATGATATTCATTCTGCAAGGAAGCCAAAATTTGGTTTTAGCTTTGTGGCATGATAAGGAATCAGAGGCACTCTAGGACTCTAATGTTATTTTCCTTTAGCAACTAGGGCTAGTAGGAAGAGGAGCTTAGCTGCACATATTTTTTGTCCAAACCAATTCGTATAGATCATAAATCTAAGTTTTTTAATGACTGCTTAATGTTGGTGTATGTTGACCCTGAAAATGCAGTTCATTATATGCACAATATGTGGATAGAGCTTCTAATCTGCCTATATTCCTTAAACAAATTATTATGGGCAATTATAATTTCCATATGGTATTTGTTTTAGGAGGGAAACTTTGAACCAACAAAAAATGAACAAGAGCATGCTTTCCTGCTGCAGCTTCTATTCTGGTTCAAAAAATCATTCAAGTATGTTCCAATTGTGCATCATTGCTTTGCGATGCAATACAGATCAGTCCATTCAAGTATGTTTTTACTTGGACTGTTTCCAGTCGCAGATCAGACCAGACCAGACTTGGACAATTATAAAATACATAGAGACCAGACATTTACCATACTAGACCACCAGACCAGACCACCAAATTTCAGTTCAAGTAAAAACATCCTAAACTGATCTTTTTCATACTCAGTCAGTTTGGATTATGAGTCAGAATTTTACATTTTGGATTGCACATCCTGTCATTCTATATTAAATAGTACGCTCGTATATGAATTTGATATTAGTTGCAAACTTGAGATCCCATCTTACCATGTTTCAACTTTGCAATTGCTTACCAATTCCCATTAAGGAATGTTTTCCTTTGCTTAAAAAAGGTGCTTTCCAGCTTTTAGCTTTAAAATGTTAAAAGTAGTGTTTTCAAAGAGGTGTTTTAAATATTAAGCACTTTAATGCTAAAAGCTGAAAACAGGAAGAGGGGTGCTTTAAATTGCATTTCAATTTTTTTTTTTTTTACACAAAAAATACCTTTTTATTGTATACTAACTTTTACTTTTTCAAAATCACATTCCTTTTCGAACACTACGAACTTTTAGTATTAAGCACTTTTCATAAATCTCTAAAATAAATCACTTCTAAAAGTAGAAGCAAACTCAAACATTCCTCAAGCATTGTTGAAAAGAATAAGTAATTACAACAATTTATTTCTACTCTAAAACTACACCTGTCCATCTGTGACTAAGATGTGAAGCATTCGTAATAATTATAGGACCGTTTTAGTGTTTATGTTACTAGTCTTTTGAAGTAGAATAATAGATGTTGCCCACATAAGCTGTCTATTGGGTTTGAGTCTATATACTAGTCTTCAGTAGTATATAGGTGTGAGTTAAATACCTCTTGAAGATTTTTTTGATATGAGTTTGGACGAATTTAACATCACATAAGAGCCTGCTATGGTGGTGGTCATTGGAGTGCCAACCCACTTGTTAGTTTGGGATAGCCTGTTTGGGCCGGTTTGTGCCCATTTGTCCACATTTTAGTTTTCTGGTTGGTATATAAGTCTGAAGGAAGTTCACTTTTGAGGATCGTTTCGAGATGAGCCTGACCCAATTTGACATTAAGATTTCAACTCATTTGTACTCATCAATTTCAGGTGGGTAAATGCGCCTCCTTGTGATAGTTGCGGTAATGAAACTAGCAATAAGGGCATGGGCACTGCATACCCTTCAGAACTGCAATTTGGTGCTTCACGAGTTGAACTTTACCAGTATGTTTTCTCAAGATATTGTTGTCCAGATAATTGGTAGTTGACTGAGTTTAGTTAATGGCTTCCATAAAATTTCACTCTTTGCTGTATATTATTACAGTAGTCATGCATATTGCACACAGCACGTTTATGCAAATGGCAATTATACTTGCTCTCATTCTTCGACTGAATATGTCTTTGGCTCATCAACTGTTTTTATAGCCATAGGGCATCAAGATCGTTGAGAGTAAGAACTGGACTTCAATGGAAGTAAGGATTGAGTTGGAGTCACTCGTCTGGGTCATTAGACACTTGACCAAACCACATTAAAAAAATTAAGTCCAATCCAGTATCTTATTAGCGCATCATTTTTCGTTCATTTTCCAATGTGTTACTCTAACACTATCCTCAAGTGGATAATTTGACCATTTTGCATCTAACTAGTTGGTCACTCGCAAATTGGACTCTTTTTTCTCTGAGACTGAAACTTGAAATGCAGCAGCGGCACTAAAAGCATCAGAGCTGTTGGGGCTGGGCTTCCAGAGAGTCAACTGGTTTGAATGGGCCACTTTCCACTAGGCCTCAGGCAGATAATTTGAGTTGAATGGGCCACGAGCTGCTAGGGTTAGACTTCCAGACGACCGAGTTAAAGATCATAAGCAAAGGCATGGACTTCAGGACAGACAATGTGACAAACAAAGTGGACCAAAACTTTCTATTATATTATGTCAGGATCCAGGGTTAAGTTAGGGTCACATGCTTGGCCCATAAGGCACTTGGGCAAACCATACTGAAAGATGGAATCTAATATATTACGTAGTATATGATAGCTAGTCAACACATATTTTTATTAACCTATCATTATATCTTTAATTTTTCAATGTGAAATTCCAACAGACATGTTACAGAGTACTTTATATTAAGAGAGTAGATTGGCGTGCCTTGTAGACACATAAAGTGAACAAGGAACACGAAAACAATGTGCAAAAAAGAGAACTGTTTTACAATCCCATGGTTGCAAAACCAGGTTCCAGAATCGTGTGTCCCTATATTGTGCGCTATAAAATAATACGTAGTAATATTTAACAAAGTAGGACTATAAAATAAAGTAGTAATCCTCTTCTTTTCTGATTTCTTTGTTGTAGGACTGCCCTCCCCAATAAAAAGGAAAATTAAAGATGGAAAAATCTCAAGATCAATGTGTTTTTTTTTTTGATAAAAAAATGTGTTTGTTTTTTCATATATGACTCTTGTTTTCATTCTCCGCAGATGCCATTCTTGCTCAAATGTGACCCGATTTCCTCGATACAATGACCCGATGAAGGTATGTAGCTTGCTCTTACAATGGCCTTGTTCGGTTCGAGGGGTGGGAGGGTAGGGATATCTAATGTTTCATCTTACCTTGTATAGTTTTAAATGGGAGTGAGGAGAATGATTCTTATGAGAATCACTGCGAGTATAGTTCCTTTAAAAGAAAAAGAAAAGAATTTCATCACCAGCTTAAGATTCCTCGCAGCAAGCTTCATCATTTTTTTTCGCTTTCATTTTTGAAAGTTCTAATTGAATCCTGATGCTGACATAAAATAAATGCTCTGTAGTGTAAACAGAAAATTGTAGAATTCATATCAGGTCATTTGTGATTTACAAGAAGACTCATTGTGATCATCTCTGTTGTTGACTAAGTATCCAATGAAAGATATAGTGTTGTGGTCCATAATTTTACCAGCAAGGAAGCAACTAAGAAAAGATATGAACATTAAAATAGTTAAAAGAACAATTAAAGAGAACAGTTTAGGTTCACCAAGAATGAGCCTGGTGGCTGTTTGGCTGGAGGGTGTAGATTGAGTACAAAAGTTAGCTCCCTTCTGTTAAACCCCAAATTGGAGGGGTCAAAATTTAGGGGAGGGGAGCGGAAGTGTTTGAGTCAAACCCTTCTAAATTCCTGAACCAATTGAGGGTTGGGAGCTTTTACCCTCCCTTCCTTCGAAAATCCTCTAACCAGTTATTATACTGCATTAGGATTCCATTTTACACTTTTTTTGACAGTCTTTTTTTTGTTTGTTTTGCATGCAGCTCCTAGAAACAAGGAAGGGGCGATGCGGAGAGTGGGCCAATTGTTTCACACTCTATTGCCGAGCTTTTGGTTACGAATCACGCTTGGTAATACTTTTTCTAGTTTTCACCCTAGTAAGCCAGAGAGCTCATTACCACCAATACAAGTAGTGAATATAGAAGCATATTTATATAGTAACAAGACTTTTACTGATTAAACTCACAACTTGATAATTCAGTTGCTGCCTCGTTCTCTCACTTTTTTTTTGTTATTTTCCAGATTTTGGACTTTACAGATCATGTATGGACAGAGTGCTTCTCACAATCCATGGGAAGGTAAAAACATTCATCACTAACGTGACTCTATCTTCCATGCACATGTGACTTGGAAACTCACTATTGAGTGCAGATGGATGCATCTTGATCCATGCGATGGAATTTATGACAATCCATTACTGTATGAAAAAGGGTAAATTCTCTTTATTCATGTTTTTTGAAGTCAATATGCTTCCAAGTTCGGACTTCATTGTTTCTCCATTTCTTTGAAAGGTGGAAAAAGAAATTAAACTATGTGATAGCTATTGCCAAAGATGGAGTTTATGATGTTACTAAGCGTTACACAAGGAAGTGGCTTGAGGTACATATATTCTAATTTTAGCAAAAATGCTCTTAGGTGTCTCAAATTGGATATTTATCGAGTTTGGGTCTAATGTATATATAATGAGTGAGGTACACCACCTCTTGAAATCCTTTCGGGACAAGTTAAGTCCAATTTAATATAGTCTAATTTTAAGTGTTTTTGTTTGTTTGTTTGTTTGGCAACTCATGACATGGGGACAAACTCCAGAAGCGCGGTCAGAAAAAATATTAGGGTGGGCCCATATGAATAAATTTCCTGATAATTTTTTACACATAAAATAGAGTTTTTTTTTCAAATTTGGGCGGGCAGGGACCTGATATGCCCCCCCTAATTGCTTGAGGCAGCCTATTTTGAATATTTTCGATCCATTTGTTCATCTTTCAAATGTCCAGGTGGGTTTTGGTCGAGGGGTGTGTATTAAGTAAGTACTTCCTCTGCCCCTTAATATAGTAAAAGCTGTGTGGTTGAGGTTTGTGTAGAGGAGAGAGAATTAACAATGATCACAAATTCTTTAATTAAATAGGAAAGTGACAAAGTTATTGAGACAACCAAAAAAGGGAAGTCGGCAAAGTTTTAAGGGATGGAGGGAGTATTAAGTATTTAAGTGTTACTCACATACAAGATGTTTACCAAATACTTGAGTTGGGAATGTTTGCTCATTAAAGGTTCTCTCTCGGAGGAACATAGTTACAGAACCTCTACTCTCTACTTGCATTCGTAACATAACTACGGAAATGCGGAAAGGTTTATCCTTCGAAGTGCTCTCTGTTTTGGAAGAACGTGATAGGCGTGAAGCAGAAACCATCGAGAGAGATTTATTAAACTCTAAAGATGATTCTACAATATCCTTACCCGGAAGATTAAGTGGGGACAAAGAATGGCGTATATCGAGATCTGAAGCTGGTTCTGATGAAAATTCATCCTTAAGCTCTTCATCTTGTCCAGTTCGTAGATGTGTAGATGTACATGTTACTAAGGTGTACAATGCATTCTCTCCAATTTTCTCTAAGCTAGTTGAGGACTTTGCCTCTAAAAGTGAGGCTATTGAAGTATTTGGGGTTTTCAGAAAGATATTAGTTGATCTCAAGAATTCCCCTTTCAGAAACAGAAGAACTTCTTTAAATTCTGCTTCAGATAGTACCCGAAATTTTGTCAATAAGATGCTTCCGTCTTTTGGTCAATTACTTGAAGCTTTATCATTGAAGAGTGGTTTAGGCATAAGCGGAAGGATAGACATATTTTTAGCTGCCGATCCTGTGAGGACGTCAATTGCACTGCCCGTCGTATTTCATGCTTTGGATGATGTGATCTATAATGTTAGTATGTGTAACAAACTTGATAAAGATTCACTTGTGTGGCCACTTTTGAAGTTAAACCGGCTATGTTCTGGTTTAGTGCGTGCTAGTGGGGAGGAGCTACCTTTTGGAATTGTGAGTATTATTATTCTTTTGTCCTGTTGGGTGGGGGCTACCCTAATCTCTAACATAATTGTCACTGTATTCCGTGTTTCTGACTTTTTCTGTTCAAAATACATCAGGTCTCATCTGCATTTGATGGAACACGCTTGTCAAAGTGGGAAGAACCGAATGGGGCAACAAGTATGTGTTTTTCCCCATAAACTTTTCTTTTTTCTCGCACCGTAAGTGTAACATCTTCATTTGGTCACATAATTTAGCAATGCATGATTTTCCGCCTTTTAAATGATGTTTGTTTTGCCATCTAATAAATAAAAGAAGAATGACGTGGCGACTAGAAAAGATAGATGCTTATTCTCACTTCCTTTATTGTGGAGTTTAGTAGCAATTCATAGAAAGCTCATTTCACTTCTCTGTTTTTTGTTTATGTCTTTTTTTGTGTGTGGGAGGGGTTCTCTTTTAAATTGTGGCTTATTTGGTTCAGAATACTCGAGGAGGTTAATAGCTTTTGGTTCCCATAAAGAAGATAGTTGCTATTCACACTAACTTGAATCATTTGATATTGAACAATCATTCGATGTGTTGTTTACTACTCCCTCCGTATTGAAATATTCGCTACACTTTCCTTTTTGGGATGTATTTTAATATTTGCTACACTTTCCCTTTTGGTAAGTTTTCCATTCAAGTACCCTTATTTTTTCTACTTTTTATCCTCTTTCATACTTTTCCATCTTCTCTCTTACTTATTCTACACTATTCATTACCCCTACTGGCCTACTACCTTCCCCTTAAATATTGTGCCAAACTCTAATGTAGCAAATATTTCAATAATGTGCCAAACTCCAAGAAAAAATCAACATAGTAGAAATTTACAACTTGCAATAGTTAAGTTCAATAATCTCATCCAACGTCAATATCAAGATTTGAGATTCCATCTTAAAAGATCAATCTGATATGGTGGGTAGTGCAAGGTTTCCTATGTTGGTTTGTGATATTGTATTAATTTGATGTGAGGTGGCTGAACACAGCCCACAAAAACGATGGCTTGTTAGAGTAGACTAATCATGAACGCCGTATGCTAAGCTTTTAGGTTTATATGGATTGAATTCTTTATTTGATCCTAATGATCTAATATTGTATTTAGTTTTGGGACCAACCTAAAAATCAACCTTATAGGAAAAGTAATTGAATGTCATATAATCAGTTGGCTCCAATGAGAAATAAGTCTTGGATAAGACTTGGGACATCTAACTAGGCTCAAACCTCCCTTGTTTGTGTCATTTTCCCTCTACAAATGTGCATCCTCCATGGAGAGATCTCCAAGGCCACGTGGCCATGTGGGTTTCGTATGTCAGTGTCTAATCGTCTTTCGGCTGTGGCATGAGATCCTCTTTCCCTTTTCTTTTCAGCTTACTAATCTCTTAACTGTCATTGTGTTCAATAGGTTGTTGGATTGTATATCAAGTTAATGGAGAACAAAAGCACGAGCTTATGGCTTATGAGTTCATGTCGGCTAATGATGCTCCAGAAAGAGATCCAAGGGACTGGTAAGGTGCCTTTAAATTTCAATGGCTCAATAATTCAATTGCATAAATGCGAAGGAGTTATACTTTTAATTAACAGTTGAACGGAAAACTGGGAGCTACTAAGCTAAGAACCCGAACAGTTAAGGGGTAATCTCTAACTAGGTTAATTATTAATACTCCCTCTGTCCCATAAAATTTTCTCGTTTTGACTTGGGTCGTAGTTTAAGAAAGTGAAAATTAAATAGAAATGTATGGTTATGGTTGAGTAAGAAAAAAGGTAAATGAATGTTAACCACACAAAACTTTTCAAAAATAGAAATGTGAAGAATTTTTTGGGACATCCCAAAATGGTAAGTGGGAAGAATTTTAATGAAATGAAAAACTAAAAAGTCTTCTTGGTTTTAGACAAGTTAGCGAAATTCCAATTGACAGAAAAATAATGTCTCGACCGCACATGATGTCATCTAACAGGTGCATCACTCGGTCTTCGACGCACATGATCAAACCACCGCAATCGAGACTCTTGCATCTTATGTTCTATAGGTGGATTAGGTGCTACTCCCATCTTTTGTTTGATTATCTCATTCCTCAAGCAGTGTTTTCTGGTATGTCCACACATCCAACGCAACATTCACATCTCTGCCACACTCATTTTTTGAACGTGACATTGTTTCACACTTTCACCACTCTACGCCATACATTAATGCAGGTCTGATTGTTGTTCGATAAAATTTAGCCTCCAGTCTAGTCTTCATACCTCGATCACATAGAAACTCTGATGTATCCTTCCATTTCATCCACCCTGTTCTGATTCTATGAGATACATTTCCATCTAATTCACCATCCTTCTGAATTATGGAGCTCAAGTAACGGAACATATCACACATCGGTATCTTCTTGCCATCAAGAGTGATTCACTGTTACTACAACTTCTACCTCTATCAAACTTGCACTCCATATACTCAATTTTGCTTCAGCTCAGTTCGAAACACTTGGTTTCCAATGTTTGTCGCCATACTTCCAACTTTATATCTTCTTGATTGCGTTTCATCAATCAATACAATATCGTCGGTAAACATCATGCACCACGGTATATCTTCTTGAATTGACTTCATAAATTCATCCATGACTATAGCAAATAAGAAAGGACTCAGATCCGATCCTTTGTGCACTCCGATAGTAGTAAACTAGTAGGGAACTCTGTCGTCCTCCCTACACTAGTACGAACACTTGTAGTACAAGTCTCATACATATCCATGATGATACTGATATACTTGCATGATATGCCTTTTCTAGTTAAGGCCCACCAAAGGTATAAATAAGAGTACAATTTTTATTCCCTGAATAGGAGTAAGTAACTGCCTTCCTGAAACGATACTATTGCCATTGTTTGGCATTACGAAGCATTAATGTGATAATATTAGTGCCATAGGTGCCACTAATTTCCAAGCACATTGTTGAAAGACTAAACCCTAGTTTATTAGGCTCAACCCACTTTATGTAGTTAGCCCTAGTTGTACCTATGGTTGTTACGGCGGCCGGGTGAGGCGCGTCACCATCTGACCGCCATATCGCCTCCGCATCTAGGCACCTGCCTAGGTGACAAGTCATTTCCTGGTAATATTTAAATATTACATATATATTAAAAATATATATTACAGATTAAATCAAAAATACATATGAAGCTATAGATATAGAATAGAGGTTCAATGCAATCTTTCACAAAGAAAATCAACATAAAATATGTATTGCTTACAAAGTTTGAAAATTTTGATAAATTGACTTTAGTTGTCTCCCGTTGTACATGGAATAAAAGCAAGAATACCAAAAGAAAGAGTAGGAGTTTACTAAATACTCCCTCCGTCCCGCTAAGATTGTCCCAGACACTATTCACTTGGTCAACACAAATCACTCTTAATTTCTTACTTTATATATCAAATAATTAGCAAATTTTGATTCTGGTTTTTGCAACTTCGTAAAGTTTTTAATGCAGTTTCTGAATATGTTTTTTTTTTCTAAAAATAATTTGAGTGGGCGGACAGGGATCTGTTTGCTTTATCGTCGGTCAAGCTAAACCGATTTGTCCCAAACATAGTGGGACAGAGGTAGTACTATATATAAAACAGTAAACAGTAGAAAATACAGAGTACAAAGTATGTTATATTTAAAAGATGGAGTCCAGTTGTCTACTCAAATGAATCCAAAAACAAGTCAGGACAGGCTTATGAACCCACACCCCTGTAAAACTTGGGAACTAGCGAGAGTAATGGAGGCAGAAGTGGAGTAGCGGCGGCGATGTAGGACAGCGACCTGAGGTGGCAACCTGCATGAGCGATCTCGCCGACGGGAATCCGGGATAAATAGTTAAGGACCTAGATTTCTGCCTGATGCGGTGATGCCTGGTCAGATTGGCAAAAGTAGGCTCTGGCCATCACCATGACGACTTGCAGATGTCTAATTGACGCCGAGTTATGCCTTGGCAGCTTCAGGTGAGTCAAGTGAGCATGGCGCCGCTCCTCTGCTGCCGGGACAACTAGTCGCTGCCTAGGTGATGCATTATGGTTGTACCCTAGACCTCATTATAGCTATAAATATAGCTATTGTTGTAATCTTTTATAACATGAATAAGAATGAGAGTCATATATTTCACATGGTACTAGAGCCATTTATTGCGTAGTTTTCAATTTATTCTTAAGTTTTCAGGCATGAAGTTTTCCTGTGATGTTTCCAAGTGGGAGTGACGTTTTCAGGCGATTGTTCATCTTTCAGAGCTTTTCCAGTAGTGTGTTTTCAAAATCAATCCTGCGCGCCGCCGGAAGTAAAAAAACGTACACTGCTCATCTTCAGATCTACTGCTCTCTGCCCCTCCGTTTTCGTCATTACCTATACCAGAAGAACTGCCATCGTCCGACCACCCCTCCCACCAAAACTTGGAGTCTGTCCGCCGCCGCCGGAAAACTCACACGTCATTAATTACTCCATATAGGGAAAAAACCACATTACTTCTCTTATGGAGCATCACTTTTTTTCACTTCTACTTAGGGCAATTTTTGTACTTTAGAGGTTGGTTTTTAAATACAAAGGCCATATTTCCAACTCGTTAAAATTTTATATCTAAATGAATTCTCCCCTTCAAATACATAAATTTAGGGATTTAGGTGTTATTTATTGGCTTGTTGAGCTAATAAGTCTCTACTTTTAAATCTCCACCTTGTGACCCTAGCTGCAAAAGACTGCAAGGAAAATTAGCCTAAGGTGTCAATAGCTGAATGACTCAGCCTAGAAGGCCATTTGATAGTCCCCAACAAGGTTGAGTCACTCTAACAATCCGTTCAACTCGATTACTCTTACTGGCTTGACATAATTGTTTTTATTACCAATATATTCACACATATCTCTAGTATATATCTCAATTATTTCTTTCTTTATATAAATTACAATATATTGCCTTTACATAAACTATATAGTTGGAATGTTCTTGTGCCTCGATTCTTCTTATTATGGACATACTGACATGTTTCATGAGTAATTGATTCCAATATTCTTTATATAAACAAATTGTATTATATGAACTTACTATTCATAGTTATCAATCGTAGAGTAATTAGTCTTGCCTTGGCTTCTTTGCTGCATAAGCCTCTGATGTGCATTCTTTAGTTTGTTTACCCATATGAACTTGTGCAACCTGCATTTTGTTCTCTTTGAGCGATCCTCGAACACCTTAATTATCTTAGCTACCTGAATCCTTGATATGTCAATTGTGTTAAGTATATGATCCATAACTATCTTAATTGTGCTTTGAGCTTTCGTGTCTTGGTTGTGCTGAACTGCTCATTTGTTATAATACTTCTTACGATTAAAGAGAGCCTTCAAATATTATAACAAATGTTATAACTATTCTACAATACACATTTAATAACTTTGGGCTTCATGTTTTCAATGTATGCTTGATTATTTTGTGTTTAGCTTTTCCTTTAACATATTATGTGCCAAATTGTATGTTTTGAATTTTAAGTTCACATGGAGTATATTTTATTTGGTACAAGTGTAATCAACATTTATACAAAATATTGAGGGGACCTTGAATGAGTTGGGATAAAATTATAATTTTGTTGGGGTCGCTTTACTTGACTTTAATGCACAAGGGGGTTAAACAGAATGAATTCAATAAATTACTCAATCCTAACTCCAGCTCTTTTAAGTCCATGTGTCTCTTTTTAATATCTCTATGTGAAACTCTTACATGAATTAGATTTTGTATGAAAGCATAATGGCGTAGTTAAGTTGAATTGGCTGATGTTTATCTCGGTTCCATCAGGATTCTTGAAGGAAGCGCAAATGGAGGTTCTAGTTGGCATGTTTTGGACAAACAAACATCTCAGATATTTAACAAGCGTTTTGAGCGAAAAGTATTTACTGTCAAACCACAAAGTTTCCTGGCAAATGCTTTCAGGTTTAGGTCCTAGCCCGAGCAATCTATTTACCTTACTATAAATGATTGGAAAATGAAAACTGTTTTGATAATCAATCAATGGTAAATAATTGGCAGGATAAGATTCCTAGCAGTTCGAGATGGGAAGGCAACCCCACGGTTTCAAATTGGCAGTATTGATCTCTATGCTAGATGCAATTAATATTTCAAGTTAAAATTGACTAAGCACAGCATTATCATGCTTTTGTTTTCACGAAATATTATCATGCGTTATTATGCATTAATTGAACTCGAGCATTGAGAGTCCTGCATTGGGGTATTAGAGTGAGACAGATGTGTTTTCAAAATCCTGGGTCCAACTAGCTAAGGGATTGAATTTAAGGAAAATTCCTGAAATAAGAGTGAAAATGTTTTGGAATTTCAAAAAAAGACTCATGTTTTTATTCCCTAAATAAGAGTAATTACTATCAAACTTGGAAAGTATTGTCATGCTTTAAGTCCGGTAATGCCAAAACATTACAGTAATTACTCCTTATTAGTAAATGTAACATGATAGTCCTATTTTGGAATTCACAAAAGTTGTTACTCCTATTTAGGGTAATTTCTTTTGAAACCATCTTCCAATGTGATTGGGTCCATTTGACTTATGACTCAGTTTAGTGTACTCAAACTAAAGCTTTATGATTTTTATCTAGCATATATGTTGTGTCTAGCAACACTCTTTCATGCTCTGTTGCAAGTCTGTAGTGGAAGTTTGAGTGCATAAGCATTTATCGCTTGCTTCGTATAATACATTTTACGACATTCAATCACTTTATGGTCCTTGCCACATTCATCATGCAATAACTAGTAGGTTGTAGGTGGGATTGGCATGTACCCGGGTCAGTCCAGTTCTGGGCCGAGACTGCTCGGTCCTTGCAAATGTTTTTGAAGCTTGGGTCCGACCCAGTTTTTTCCGGTAACCAAAAAAACGGACCTGGTTTGGGCCTCAAATATTACCAGGCCAGACCGGGTCCCCTGATGAAACGGGTTGGATTCACCGTCTACTCATGGATCAGAATGACTTGTAAATATATAAGCGCTGATCGTAATAATAATGTGATAAAGTTTGGGATAGTGAAAAATGTAAAGAAATGTTATAAACTAGAGTTAAATACTTAAATACTAGTTTAATGCCAATTCTTACAAGTATAATGTCGCTATTATATTCTCTACTTTAATTAAGGTGAGGGAAACATGATTTTTAGGATGTATGTGATTTGTTACGGTTCTCATTTATGGAAAACTTTGTTAAATATTAAGACATCATATATGTACCCTCAAGGATAGAGTATTTTCTATTCTCAATATTTGTATGTGTACCCTTTAATGTTCATAATTTAGTCCTCAACTTTAATTGTAGGTAAGAACTATGTTTAGCTATTTAACATACATCTATGACTCTATGATGTACAGTAGTGGACTCGGGCCGGTTTGGGCCCGGGCCGGGCCTAGGCCTGACTGGGACGGCAGTTAGGAAATGTTGGGCCCGGGTAGCCACCGGGTTCGGGCCGGGCCTCGGGTCGGGCCTAGGCCTGACTGGGACGGCAGTTAGGAAATGTTGGGCCCGGGTAGCCACCGGGTTCGGGCCGGGCCTCGGGCTGGGCCTTGGGCCTCTTACAATTTTTTTTCCTTTTTTCTAATTACCCCCCCCCCCCCCCCAAACCCCCCAATTCCCAAACCGCCCAAAATACCCAACCCTACCCGGGAATTTAAAAAAAGTTGAAAAAAAAAACCCCGGAACCAGGCCCGGATCGGAAACCCCTCGGGTCGGGCCTACCCGGACCGGTCATTGGCCGGGCCATTGGTTCGGGCCGTTCCGGAACAGTGTTGGTCCTGGGCCGGTTCCGGGTCGGGCCACCCGACCCGAATCCACCACTAATGTTGTAGACCACAATCATAAACAATATAAATGTAAAGATAGATCATAAACTTCAATTTAAAACTTTTATCAAATAGCTGATGAATGTAGTGATTAGAGGAAGCGGTTCAGCCCAGCCGGTTGCCAGCTCACTCTCCCATATGGAAGGTCCTGGGTTCATTCTCAATGGAGTGAGATTGATCCTAGTTAACCCTAGGCCCCCAAATCCCTTTCTAGTTTCCCCCACAACGCCCCCTGGGGTAAAAAAAAATGTAGTGATTCATTTTGAACCTTAGTTAAGAAATTAGCTTGTAGTGTTCATATGCAACACAATTTTGAGTACAAGAATATGAAATCGAAATTGAAATAATACCTATTGAGGTTAATACCCTTAGCTTCAACATGAATACATGATACATTTGGTTTGTGACCGATCCATGTGTAAGGGATGAACAGAAACGGAGAGGAACAAGGCGTATTCAATTCGTATTTGGTGTTATGGACTCCTAAAATAAACTCAAGAATAGGTCTAGGTCTAACTCATCATACAATGATGTTAATGGGCACAAGGTACTAATGCTATTAAATGTTGAGATGTCAACCACTCTTCTGAGTTAAGAGGGATGTTTATAGTGGAAGGTGGTAGCTGAAATGGGTGACAATAATTGACATTATGCCCTCCTATTCGTTGAGCCTTTCCTTCCCAATATTTGACTAAACCTAACTACCTAGGCAATTTATACCGTACACCCAGGTGTACGTACACCCAGGTATTTTTGAAATTAATTGCAAGTTTGAGGGTAAGTAATCGGGTGTGCTGCTTCCTTCCCCTGCTCCACTCACGCTCATCCTTCTTTTCTGTATTCCGCCGCTGCTTCGTTTTTTTTTTTTAATTCTCCTTTTTTTAGCAGCTCATCAAAAACTTCTCTTTTGTTACCTTTTTATGCTCCACTCAGCTAGTCAACTCTCCTTTAATTTTTTTATTCTTCGTATAGTTTTTTTGTATTACTTCTCGCTGCTTGCCTGCTTCGATTCTTATCTTTTGTTTATTGATTTTATCTATCTTCTTTTTTGTTTTTGTTCGTTTGGTCTCCTTTTGTAGTAACTTTCTACTTTGAAGTTATATATTCAATTAGTGTGAAAATGAATTATATAAATATTATTAAATTTTTCAGTTTATTTTTTAGATTCATGTAAGAGTTGATTATTGATATAGGAGCACAAATCATGATACTCAATTGCATGTTTTTAATACTCAATAGAGGATGTTTGATAGTCACTAAACTTGTCTTGAAGTTCAATTAAAAAACTTGTGATTTTCATATCAATACTCATTTTGTAAGTTACGGAGTACGTTTGTTCAATTTGTATTCATATTATGCTCATTTTTAAAATGTCATACTCATGCAAATTTTAAAAGTTGCATATGACATTAGATTCACATTACTCAACTGAATAAATCTAATGCTCATTGCAAGTGTTTTAATGCTCATAATATGTGTGATGCACATTCAAAGTTCATTAATGCTCATTTAACAGAAATCTTGATTTTTATCTTAATAGATGAGGTTTGATGCTCAACGAAAATGTTGTTATGTCAATGAGCATTTTGTAAGTTACTTATGCTCATCTAGTACTGATCTTATGCTCATTTTCTAATGTTATATCAATGCATATTTCAAAAGTCTCATATTACACTAGATTCACATCGAAGTTAATTATAGACACTAGACCACAAATCATGATACTCAATTGCTTGATTCTAATACTCAATAACGGAGGTTTGATGCTCATTAAAAATGTATTGATGCTCAACAAACAAAACTTACAATTTTCATATTAATGTTCACTTTGTAAGTTACATATGCTCATTTGTATATATAAGTGTGATGATCGTTAAAAATTCATTAATGCTCATTTAACAGAAATCGTGATTTCCATCGATCTCAATAGAGGATGTTTGATGTTTAATGAAAATGTCGTGATGTTCAACTAACATACCTTTTGATTTTCATATCAATGCGCATTTTGTAAGTTACGTATGCTCATGTGGTACTCATCTTATGCTCTTTTTCTAAATGTTCATATCATTGCATTTTTCAAAAGTACTATTTTACTTTAGATTCACATATTGAAATTCATAGGAGTTGATTAAAAGAAGTTTTTATAAAAGAAAAAATAGCAAAAAAGAAAGTGAATTAAAAGTTACGAAGCTTAGATCACGATTCTGAATGTTAGACTCCGAATACTCAACATAATAGGTTTAATGCTCATTAAAAGTTCATTAATGTTCATTCACCAGAAACCGTGATTTTTATCTCAATAGCCGAGATTTGATGCTCAATTACAATGATGTGATGTTCAACTAACAAACATACGATTTTCATATCAATGTGCACTTTGTAAGTATGTATGTTCATTTAGTAGTGATGTTATGCTCATTTTCTAAATGGATATTTAATAAGTTGGTTATACATATTGAAATCCATATGAGTTGGTTATACATATTATTTAATAAGTTTTTATGAAAGAAAAAAATAACAAAAAGAAAGTGAATTAGAAGTTATGAAGCAGAGATCACGATTCTGAATATTAGAATCCTAATACTCAATAAAATAGTTCTCATGCTCAATAGAAGTTCTTTAATGCTCATTCACTAGAAACTGTGACTTTCATCTCAATATCGGATGTTTGATACTCAATTAAAATGTCGTGATATTCAACCAACAAACCATACGATTTTCATATCAATGTGCACTTTGTAAGTTATGTATGCTCATTTGATACTGATATTATGCTCATTTAATTTACAATGTAATATCAATGCATATTTCAGAAGTATCATATAACATTAGACTCGCATATTGAAATTAAAAAGAGTGGATTATAGATATAATTTAATAAGTTTTAATAAAAGAAAAAAAAAAGAAAAAAATTGAAGATATGAAGCAGAGATCGTGATACTCATTGTTAGCCTCATAATACTCAATAAAATAGGTACGAGGCTCACTAAAAGTACATTATTGCTCATGTATCGTAAGCCGTGAATTTTCACTCAAATTATAAAAATGTCATAGAAACAAAGTGGTTGCATAGTACATACACACGGATATAGCCCAGAAGTCAAAATTGAAAAACTTGAATTATTGACTTATTGACTTTTGCCCCAAAAGTGGCTACATAGTACAAATGTTTATTAACCAAAAAATGGCAGCGTGTGGTATGAAGTAACCTGAAAAAATGGTGGATTTGTTTTTCGATCTTCGATCCGAATCTTACTTTTTCATCGTAAAACACTTCCACCGAAATCAAATTCTACTTTGAATCATGGAGACGCCGCCAGCGAAGAATCCATCCATCTCTTGTCGTCTTATTATGTTGGCGATGAGGAGAAAGTCATAGGAATCGAAATTGAGGCTGTGGGTTGACGGTGCAGGTGACACCGCCATTCTCCTGGAGGAAGCTATTGGAGTTTTGCGGGACCAGGATTGTTGATGAGCTTGGCATTTCTATATGTGGGCTTTTAATTTAATTGGACCGGATGTAGGATATAGGAACTCAACTATTAAAACCTTTGCTGCCAATATCTGATTTTCCTTCAAATGTGGTGTTGTAGACCGTTCTTCTCCCCAACTGCATTTTGCCAAGTAGGGGGGTGAAGAGGCGGGATGGTTGTGCAGTTGAACCAACATGAGGTAAAGCCTACCTCGGTTTGGTTTTGGGTCCCCCTCGATATGCCTTAGTCTCTTCTAGGTCATGTCATTCCCATTGGCTCGGCTCTTTCTCAGGCCCTGCTCAATCAAATGGAGCGATGCTCGGGTTGGT